CCACTGTAAGCTTGATAACGTGCAACTATTTTGCCATTTTGTGCGCAAATTATTGTAAGGAAGATGTAGTTCTGGTGCTAAAAAATTTAAAGCTCTACCCTTAGGAAAGAGGTCTTGTTCAAATGGGTTTAGTTTTTTGGTGATTATATTGGTTATTTAGGGTTATCCATATATGCACAAATGCAACTTTGGTGTCTTGGCCGAATAAAATAATGCTTCTAGGGATTACTATGGTTTGAATTTACATTTTTTAATTATTCTGAAAAATGCTTGTACATTTCATAGGTGTTTGTTCATTTCAGTGATTTAATGATCTGCACGCTATTTTCCAGGACGCATTGTGTTATGAATTTGCACAAACTTTAAACCTAAGTTATTGTTATCTTTTAGTTTTTTGCAGCAATCTCTCTTAAATGAAGCTCCTTTGATTTTCTATAATTGTTCTCACTTAAAGCAATTTTTTTTTATAAAGAACTAACAAGGGTTAAAAACTGTATTGATATGCTGCTGAATTTTAATGCAGTTAAGTGGTTCATGAAGACAGAGGGGTTAAGCCAGTGAAGAGATTGTTTTAAAGAGAGGAAGATTCAGTCCCAGATAATGAAATCAGTTTATGGAATGAAATATATTTATGCATTCAAATCAATAAACATAAATGTGTTTTTAAATTTTAGTTTATGGAATGAACAAGCTCTCAGTTGTTTCAAGTAGAAGTTCAATGACTTATTATGCAATAGTATCCACTTCTTGTGAGGTTGTCTTTTGTTGTGGAATTCTTAATTCGCTTACTTCTATGTCATTGATTCATAGTCTTATTTTGATGGAGTTAAGACTTCCAAATTTTGTCTGGTAAAGTCGACGATATCATGCTTGGAAAATTCCTTTCTAGCATGTTTGGGTACATGGATATTAAGGGCATGGATTTTTAGTATCTTGGATATTGCAAAAATCCATCGTTTGGATTTCTTAATGACTAGGATACTTAAAATCATGAAAATAAGAACTACTTTTCCATAATTTGATTTTCACACCAAAAGCTGATTTTTTGAATTTCAAAAGGCCCATGGATTTCACTCATTGGCTCCCTCAACCCAAAATATAGGGAACATTTGGTAGGTATGAAAATTTTAGAACGAGAAAGTACCTAAATTCTTTTAAAGAGAGGAACTATTGCAAAATATTTAGAGATAAACTATCGCAAATTTTTTCTTTTGGAGAGAGAGTTTATTAAAATTTTAAAGAGAGAAAGTATGTTAAAATTTAGATAGAGAAAGTATCAAAAAAATTAGAGCGATGAACTATCGCAAAAATTTAGAGAGAAAAACTCTCAAATCTTAATTGTAGGGAGAAACTATCATATTTTAGAGAGAGAAACTGTGTCAACCTTTGAGAGATAAACTATTTCAAAAATTTTAGAGAGAGAAACAATCTCAGTTTTAAATTTTTAGAGAGATAAACTATATAAAATTTTAGAGAGAGTACCTAAAAAGTTATGGAGATAAAAACTATCTCAAAATTTCTAGAGAGAGGAAGTATATAAAATCTTAAGTTTTCGAGAGAAAGTATTCTTAAAATTGTAGATAGAGAATATTCTTAAATTTTTAGAAAGAAACTGTTATAAATTTTAGGAAGAGAAATTGCTGAAAATAAATTAGAGAGAAATATCTCATGTTTCTTAGAGAGAGATACTATCTCGAATTTTGAGTTTTAGACAAACTATATTAAAAATATAAAGATAGAAATTATATCAAATTTTAGAGGGAAAAACAACCGTAAAAATTTTAGAGATTGAAACTATCTCAAAATTTTGAGAGAGAGAAACTATTGCAAAAATTTATGTTTCTGAGAGATAAAATATCTTAAAATTTTATAGAGATAAACTATATCAAATTTTAGATAGAGAAAGTACATGAAATTTTTACAGTGAAACTATCTCAGAAAAATTTAGGGAAAAAGTCTCAAAATTTAAGTTATGAAGAGAGAAAGTATCTCAAATTTTAAACTTTAGAGAGAGGAACTAAATCAAATTTTATAGACACTGCATCATGTTTTAAAGAGAGAAAATATCTTAAAATTTTAGGGAGTGAAACTATCTCAAAATTGAAGTTTTAGTGAGAGAAAGCATCTTAAAATTTTAGACAGTAACTATAGCAAATTTAGAGAGAGAGTATATAAATATTTTTAGAAAGAGAAACTATCGTAAAAAATTTTGAGAGAATTTATCTCAAATTTAACTGTTAGAGAGAAAATATCTTAAAATTTGAGAGAAAAGCTGTCATATTTAATAAAAAAAAACTACTTAAAAATATTTAGAGAGAGAAATTATCAAAAAATTATTGAAGAGGAGAACTATCTCAAGTTTTAAGTTTTATAGAGAGAGTATATTAAATTTTTAGAAAGAGAAACTATGTTAAATTTTAGAAAGAGAAACACCTAAAATTTTTAGAGAGAGAAACTATCTCAAAATTTCTAGAGAAACAATTTCAAATTTTAAGTGTTGGATTGAAAGTATATTAAATTCTAGAGAGAGAAACCATATCAAATTTTAGAAAAAGAAACTATCTCAAATTTTTTATAGACACTATCCCAAATTTTAAATTTTAGAGAGAAAGACTGTATCAAGTTTGTTACCGAACAATGGTAATTAAAGTAATTGCAAGGAATCCATGAATTTTGAATATATCCAAACAAGAGATTTGAGGAACCCATGATAAAAGTCCCTGATATTGAAAATCCATAGATTTCCTTAGATTTCAAATATCGAAGATTCCTAATTTCCTCCTATCCAAACGGCCCTTCAAGTTTTTTAAATATGGGGAAATTCCTTTTCAATCATTCTTTTTTCACTTTTGGGGTGAAGGTGCTATGGGTTAGAAACCACAACATGGATTTTAATTCCTTTTAAACTCTCATATTCTCTCTCTCTCTCTCTCTCTCACGGCCCAACAATTGGATTTTTAATTCGGATGGGATTTGAGGGTTAATTTGCAAGGGGTGAGGCCATACACAAATCATGCAAATACTTATTTAATTTGAATGAGATTTTTAGCGTCACATATAGTTGCCAATAAACTGTAAAAGTATACAAGGCCCATCAATTGGATTTTAATTCGTACGCGATTTGAGGCTAAATTTGCATGGGGTGAGGCCATGCCCAAATCCTGCAAATTCTTATTTGCAAGGGGTGGTACATATAAACTTCCCCATAACTGTAACGTTATATAAGGCCTGTCTATGACATGGTTTAATGTCTTTTCGAATAAATCGATGTCCACTTACATTTTAAACAATGCTTCTGAATAATTTCTTAGGCACCCAAAGACTTGGGTTAACCCAACATTATCAAGCAGAAAGAGAAATGGAAAGAACAGCATATAACAAAATTGCCTTTGATTCAAATAGAGTATATTAAGATTGATGAGTACATCTTACTATGATTACACGTTTACTCCTTTTTTATGAGGAGAACAAAATATACAACATGTAAGATTGAGTACTCCTTTTTTTATGAGGAGAAAGAAATATACATGTAAGATTGAGAAGTACACTTTACTCAACATGGATCACTAAACTTAGAGCTAACATGGCTATCATTAGATGCTTCTCAGAATTCCCATAGGCAATCAAATATTGTTGATTCTCTAATAACTTGATCAGTGACTTGAAGTTAGATGTTGTTGGCTCGAATATTGTGCAGTCTTGTAGATGAAAGTGCCCTCTTCCCACCGACGCCCAAGTAGAACACAACTTTACGAATGACACTATCACACAATCATTAAAAGAAAGAGCCCAATAACTATTCACACCAGTTAACATCCCGTAAATAAAGTAAGTAATTTCAACGGCAATTATGTTCTTAAATAATAGACATTGTGCACTAGAATCTGCTTTCATTTACAAGTAGGCCTGTCACTCTATTCAATTTCTGAAAAAGCGGATCGACCAGTGCCTGGGTGGCCGCCTAGGCGGATTTCTCTAGGCGGCTGCCTAAACCCACCTAGGCGGGGGCGGAATTGCGGCTTATTGAGGGTATTTTTGAGTAATTTTTGTAATACTAAAGAGGCAAAATTATGGGTTTTAGATTCACTTGAACCCTAAAACTCATTACAAGCTATTTTAGAGAGGGAAAACCCAAAAAAAAAAAATTTTACGGGGTCGCCCAGGTTTTGGGCACCCGCCTATGCGTTAGGCAGCGTCGACCCCCCCCCCCCCCCGACTGCGCTTTTTGAAACACTGACACTAATTTAATAAACTAAAGGGTGATTCAAGTTCAATTGCAACTAGGCCAGCAAATATGAGGAAAGCTTACACAACATTCCCAAATCTAATAACAATCACACCCACCATATAACTGTTACTTGAGTGATACTTTCTTGCTTGGTAAATTGGGATATGAATTTTGATACTGATTTTGATATCTTTAACTGCTGCATCGTAGACAACCTC